AAATTTCAACCAATACTTGGTCCAGGAGTTCCATTACCTACTGGTTTGGAGTCCAAAATTGCAAGGCAACAGTGTTAAGCTTTGCTAGTCATGAACTGAAAATTTGGTCGACTGTTTAGTGACGGTTATAAGAAAAAAGTTGCTACTATTCTATTTTCATTTTGAAAAAAACTGTCAGTACTTACTTCTTTAAAAAGTTTTGATTTATATAGTATATTTTTTAATTCTTATGGTTATGCGATTGAGCTATTTATCTTCTAAAGTATGGTTTTGAAAATTTTTAATTTAAGACACTGCTTTACAAAAAATAAAAATTTTTGTAACATTCTATACCCATGAGAAAAATGATAGAGTGATATAAAAGGAAACAAATCTGATACGATGCCATTTTTTTCGTCATAACATAATATCTTTTTATAAACTGACAGTTTAGCTTCTTTATCTTTTTTCTGTCAAAGAGCTTGGATACGTATACTTTTCAAGTTCAGACATGTTCATCTTCCGTGATAAGAAACTTGATCATATTTTAGTCTGCTTTTCTACAGAAAAATCTACTTTTTCACTTTTCTTTTAAATTTCAAATCTACTTTGACAGACTTTGATTTTTTTCATACATATATTCTTTTTATAGTCTATAAATAGTAGTTTAGAAGAATAAAATTTCACAGACAAAATAGTTTTATAGTGACCTGAATGGCGCTACTACACTTTTCTCTCATGTGAAACTTCATTCATAATTATAATCATGTTAATAACCCCAGAAACCATATGTATAAATGTATAATTTTATTGTTTATTTGTAATTATCAATTGTAATAAAAAATTTGATAATTAGTAAGTTCTGTAGTAAAAACAATTTGTGTATTTAATCATGCATTGAAACTAAAAAGATTTGCTATCATACATGGATAATATGCTAAATGGTATTTTTCAATTTAAATTAAAGAGAAAATACTTTTAACTGGAACTCAGGGATCTAATAATACTTTATGACAACTCATATAGATTTGTTCGAGATTTTAAAGCAGTGTTTTATTTACGAACAATAAAAATAATTTGTATTCGTTTTTTTTCTTCAAAGAAATATCTAGAGCTTATTTTTTTAAATACGTCTTTATGACGTTATTAGAATGTAATTAAGGAGAAAATATGCTCCTGTTTCTCATGAGAAAATCCGAGAAAAAGTGACACAACTTTGCAAGAACTGTCCAAACTCGCACCGTAAAAAAAAATGAGCGGCAATGTATCATAATAGCCCCGGAACAAGTAGAGTATAGTGAAATGTTCAGTTTCGAAACAGCCTATTCTCATTTTTAAGCAAAATCATCGACTCAAAAATGATGTGGATGTAGAAATGTATGTGAGGGATGCTCCTTAGCTGCTTGCAAGATTCGAGCTAAGCATCTGTAGCTGGATCTTTTAACCACCAAAGAAAAAGGCTTAAGGTGCAGGTTGATTTAGGAAGCTATATCAAGTGGCCGTCTCAAGAACTCATTTGAGTAATTTTTCATTTAAATGAAAGCATGGTACCGAAACAAAGAATGCCATATACTCAATTTTTAGTCGTTTGCTACTTAAATAAACATGATTAAAAAATAAATGTTAATATTTATTTATCATTCTTCTTAGTAAGGGTCGAAGAAATTTTAACCTATGTTTATACCTGTCTTTTGTTTAATTTTACCTGTTTGTTGAACATTTTTTGGAATTAGATTTTTAAATGTGTAATTTTCGATGACAAAATTCAGAATCCGAAGGAAATCAGGTGAATAATTTTTAAGATATTAAAAGTTAAAAATACGCTTCTTTTCTTAAATTGTATATCATGATTTCATAGCACTATATGTCCACTGGCAAATCTATCATTTGATATGTCCGCTGACGAGTCAGAAGAGTACAGATGATGAGTCTCTACCCCAATGTCATTTGAGATGCCCACTGACAGGTCTGATGAGCACAAATGATGAGTCTCTACCACAATGTCATTCAATATGACCATTGGCAAATATGATGAGCTCAGATGATGATTCTCCACCACATGTGAGATTTATAATCATTCCAAAATATTTTACCCACATAGCAGCAACTGGGTATTGATACGGGGCACCTTTAACTTCTCACACTTCGTGATTAAAGAAACACTTTCACGTAGACTGCAAGCCAATTGTGAATTGGGCCCCAGGAGATGCTGGCTGCCATGTTTCGTGATGCATCGACAAGAGCTGAGCATCATGCCCAACGATTATTTAACTGTTACAAAACTCGAAAAACTTTTCGAATGTAATTTGTCTTTTTATTAGCAATGGTGCAAGATTTTCAAGTTAAATTTTATCGTTATCATGCCCCCATGCTTTTTTTCTCATTTAATATTTTAATGTGTCTTACATCTAAATTACTTTCACAGAATTAAAACTTACGTATTTAAAAAAACTGATTCTTGGATTGCTGCATAGAAAAAAACTTAAAATTGTTGAATTTCTTCACTTGGTTAGAAATTCCTTTTAGAAAAATAAAATATTTGTTATGCAAAGTATGGGAAATTATTTCACCTTAAAACTTAATTTAGCGTGGATAATGATCAATGTAAAGCAAAGCAATCGACATAGTAAACGAAATCCTTTTTGCATAGTGCATAAATATGCATATTCTTCTATCAATAAAATGCCGGAGTTTATATTGTAAATTCCATAATTAGAAATTATGTTTATATTATTCTTTGGATTGTAAGCTGCTTATCTGTCAAACACACTTGCTTATAACAAGTTAAATCAAAATAGATTATGTGAAAATACATTCCATGCGGGAACTAAAGAATCCTGACTTAAAAATGATAACGTTGACACGCAGAAAAGGCATATTCTTGATATTTTGCGACGAAGGGTATTTTCTTTCATTATCGTTTTGAAAGAATATGAAAAAAAGGCAATTTTCTGTTTCCTCTTAAAGATTTAAGTGATTAAAGAATATCCCGCGAGGCAGAACATTCTTTGTTGAAATCAAAGTACGTTGTGTTTTTTTTTTCTTTTTTCATTTCTTCAGTTAAAGAGTTTTTTCCTTCATATTTTGGTTTTGTATCTTTTCCAATGTGATTATCTTGATTTCTTATGCTAATTTTTTAAATCTATTCCTAGAAAGTCATTTCTTAAAAATCCCTAAAATCTCCATTTTGAAGAAAAGTTAATTATTTCCCTTACATCATACCCATCTGTTGGAAAATTGAAAAATATCTTCTTTTCAATATTTTTTAAGCTCATCTCTTTCTCATCGTTTTATTCTCAGTTTTAAATTAATTCCCCTCCAGACCTGATGTTTATTTATAATACATTTCAACTTTTACAAGATATCAAGTTTCAAATGTTTATAAATTTTTGTTTAAAAGTTATTCAATATTTTGTTTTTAAAAATAATCTAATTTATTTTAATGACTTAACTCTTTGTTGGAATGCAGTTTTTAAATACTTTTGAAACAGATAGTCTACTTGAAATATAAAATAAAATGCTTTTATCATTCAACTTCCAAAAAATGTAGTAGTTTTCGAAATTAAAAATTTTCAAATATTGGTGTCAACGAACTCACAAAATAAGTATTTTAAGTAAACAGCGCATGTTTTTCATTACAGGGAATTTCTATTGATTTTATAGCATATAGCGAATTTCTATTGATTTTATAATATACAGTGTGGAAATACTTACCGAACAGTTGAACCTAGGTTTGTGCAGAAAGCAAATGGCCTCCGAGGGTTTATTGCTACTTTTTTTACTATTTTATGGAACTTTTGAAAAACTGTTTAGCATAAATGAAATAGAATTTCGTTAATATTGTACAGTAAGGAATATTAGATTAAGTAAACTGTGGATCAAGTCAAGTGATTTTACTGATACATATACATTCTATGGCGATGTTCCTAATTTTCATTTTGCATAAATAAAACTGAATATCCTAGATATAGGATGAGGATGCTAAACCGCATGATTTTGGTGACCAATTCTGAAAACCAAAATGGGAAATCACGCGAATAGGAATGATCGAAAATGTTTGAAATATATTCTTAAAAAAGAAAAATGCATTGTTCATTCGTATAGTGTAATAGTTTTCATAACCCTGCTTGGACGGTATTCACAATTTCAGAGCATTTTCAGTAATCTGATGACACAGGCAACATATCTAAGCAAAGCAAAAATCTCTCCTTACAAATTTGTGTAAATTAATATAGATAGATTTCTGGCTTCCCAGGAAGATCTGTAATAAACTGCAATTTAAATTACATGAAAAATAGAAATATAATTGACATGCCAATAGAGATCACGTAATCAACTTTTATTTTATTCTTCACATCCTTTTTTTTTTAAATAGTATCGTTTATATACTTCATTCCTTTAGGAAAATTTGCCATATGTTTGCCATAAAAATACTATGGATTATCTCCATGAGGTTTTGCTAAGGGCAAAACTTTACTATAAAATTTTGCCATAAGTATATGGCAATTTATTACCATATTTTCGGCATACAACTACACATAGCAAATATAAACATAGACCAGGGTCATAAAATTACAGTAAGTTATTTTTTCGTTAGAAGCTTTTCACAAAAAGGAATAGAATGAGATAATTTAGGTGAGGGATTAATTAATTAAACATATGAGAAAAGACAATAATGATGTTTGAAAACTAAGGATAATATATCTGGACAATTCAGATCTTTAGGAGCAGCATTAATCAGAAAACGTAAATAAAATGAAGGTAATATGAATAATTGGAAAATAAATTTGAATGGACTAACATATTTGTTGTTTCTCTATAGTTCATTAATTCAAAATTAATAACACCATCAAAGATTCAGTACAATGTCGTAGAAAGGGACAAAACACAACATTTGATATTGTGGGAATTCGGATGAAAATAATTCGGATAACGAACCGAAATTAAATTAGCTTATCAAACTATTAGTTCAAGCAAATATTAGATGCTTTATCATATAATATCCTGTTATTTATTTTTAGTGCCTCCAAAAATTGATGAAGAGAACACAAGTTCTGATACAGATGTTCGAGAAGGAGGAGATATTAGTTTGAGATGTTCGGCTTCAGGATCACCCCCTCCGAAAATAAAATGGAGAAGGGAAGACCAAAAAGATATCCCTGCTGGTCTCAAACTCGGTAAGCCTAACTCCTACTTTTCATTTTCTAATAATTTAAAGGGATAAATTTTGCTACAGAAGATAAAGTAATGTTTTAATAAGTTACGATATCTAATTCGTTGGCTAGGTATAATTTAGCAGTGCGTTTGTAAAAATATGTTTGCAAAAATATAGAGAAAGAAAATCAGGAATATCTGTTAAATTACATTAATTAATTACGTGACTCATGTGAGAAGAATAAACAAAAATCTTTGCAAAACTACTGTGTTACGAGCAGACAATTGTCAATAGCCTGTAAATTTATTGTTTAAAAGTATATTGAAAATTTTCTTGGTAACAGAATATAGAAAATTACAAGTTTTTATCTCAGAAAATGTTACTACTCGTAGTTCTTTTTGATATTTTATTTTATTACTGGTATTAAACAGTTGACCCGATTCAGAGTTGAACCCAGACCAGAAGACAAGGGGTGTCCATAATTAAGCATTTGTACAAACTAACTAGTGTGAAGGACTTTTAGACGCACCATGTCATAAGGGTCGAATCGTCGAAGAACATTCCAGTGACTTTCAAATCATGTCTTGGCCCCCAAATCCACCTGACCTTAATCCAATAGAGCATTTGTGGTCCTACTTGGAAAACCAAATTCGTGCAGCCATGCTATCCCCTCGCAATGAGAGGGAATTGCAGGACCAGTTGGTGAGGGCTTGGTACCATATACCTCAGACTACCTATCAGCACCTAGTGGAATCAATGCCACGGCGGGTACTAGCAGTTTTGAGGGCTAAAGGTGGTACTACATGTTATTAGCAGGGTGGCCATAATGTAATGTCTCTTCGGTGTATATTGCATTATATAAGATTTTATATATTGTATTTATAAGTATTATATTTCATAAGACACTTTGGATTTTAATTCCCTGTAATTTTATATAGGACTTGTGAATCATTTTCCGAAAAATTATTTCATAAATTTTCAAATTTTTTCGCAATTAAATAATTTAAAGAAAAAAAAAATTCCTGAAAAAGTTTAGAAAAATAACTTGAGAAGACCGATTAAGGAATCCAGTCTTGTTCTGGATCAACTTGCAAGAATTGCGTAAAAAGGCTGTGGTCAAGCTCAATATTTAAAATATAGTAGATTGAAATCGAAGCCAAAATGCAAAACTCCTTAGTTTATCATATGTTGCGTTTCATTTGCTCAAAATTTAGACTCGACTATGAAATCGACAGGTCGAAAGTGTGGTTGAACCAAATATTGCAAGTATAGTCTAGATTTTATGAGAACTCCTTCCAGCTGAAAGTCTGAGGATGCCTATTACTATGTAAACAAGAAAAGCACTGCTTCTAATAGGGGGGACCGAAGAAAATGACAATTCTATCTTATCCTATCAAAGTGAAACAACTAACCCCAAATCCCCATTAAAAGTAACTTATCATAGTAACCACAATAACATAAAATATGCGGGCAAGTTGTATGAAGCCTTTCTCCTGCAGGAGAGTTCAATCTGAGATAAAAACTCCCGTGCATTCGTTTTACTGACATAGCTTGACAACTAAACTAAACAAAACTCACTGGCTTGCGACAGTTCATAGAAGGCCAAAACCTAATGTGCCCAGCTAAGTTTTCTTGATCTTGGGCTCTGGAGTGCAAGAGCAGATGTTCCGGTTGGGTAGTCAGCTTAACGTAGAATCTTCAGTGTTTAGTTCCCAAGCATGCTTGGTACTCATTTTATCAACCCACTGAAAGGATGAAAAGTAGAGTCAATCTTTCCCGGCCCGAGGTTCGAACCAAGGACCTGTGGCACGAAAGCGCGGAGGGCTACCACTCAGCCAGTGGGCATCGGTTTGACGAATAATCCAGATAATTTTCAATTATTCAATCTAAGCATATGTACTAATGAACTTAAATTATATTCCTGAATTTCGCTTTTCTTTTTAAGAAATAATTAATTTTGAAAATAACATATTTTATGAAACAAACAGCCAACTATTCATCCAAAAAAGTTGATGATTATTTATAGGTAGTTATATATATTGTTTGTTATTTATAGGTTGTAAATGATGAATTATATACACTGTAAAAAACTCAGAATCAATTTACGGAGAAAAGTACCAGTACTTCCTACTTGTCTGGTACTTTTTAATATAAAATTTTACAAAGCAAAAGATCTAATATACCATAATATTTACAGTAACATTTATTGTTAAATCATCAGATCACCGTAGTTAAATAAATGTTACTATAAAATTAAGGAATAAAACTATACGGAAAAAATGGATTTTATAAATTATTTTCCATTATAATTTGATCTCAAATTTTTAAGAGTTGTAAGTAAATAGTTTTGATTCCTTTTGTATTTTACCAAAGTTGTTACAATTGTCTTTAACAAAAAATAAATGCTTATTAATAGCACTTAATTAAATTTAATAAATTAAATAATTAAGAATTAATATAAAGCTAAAAGCAAAATTAAAAATATGCATATTGTATTATTTCACAAAAGAATTAAAAGAAATGATGTTTTTCCACGTTCCTACTTGAACTATTTTTAAATGATCTAATAATAATATAATATTACAGCAATTTTAATATCATAAATAATTACATAAGACGAAGAATACGAAATCTTAATGACATGAGATGCACACTGAGAAGAAAATTCTGGGGAAATTGTTGCACTATTTGGCAATGACACTTCTGAAAAAAAAATGATAATTTTCAATACCATAATTTTTACAATAATAAAATCCAAAAGATACAGCATTTAAAACATTCATTTCGTAATTTTTCTGCTAATATGAAAACTGTATAGCGGAAATTCTGGTTAGCAAAATTATAGTTCTTATTACCCCACATTTAGTAACATACAAAACTGAAATGTAATTTGCTCAGAATAAATTATTTGTATGCCATGTTCTAAAATATCATGATAAAATTATCAAATTCACATACATTTACTAAATTTTTGTAACAGATTAAAAAACCATTTTTTTATTGTCATTTTTACCTAAATCATTACCAAAGCGTTACGATATAAATTACCAAGCTTCTTGGTGTTCCTATTGATCCAGAAACACGGTAAATTTTACCATATTCCTGTAGTTTTGACCATGCTTTTTTGCACTTTGCCTACTCTTAACTCTTTTTTTCTAAATTAGGGGTTGTAGCTTTTTCCCTTTTCTTTTTATGGCTGTCTTATGATATTTCAAAAAATAATAAAATCGATTTTCAATAACTCAATTTAATTAAATTTTTGTTAAAAAAAAAAAAGGTGTTTAAAAAAGCATGGATCTTTCTTTTAATGTTATTTGCATTCACCACTTTATTAACTTTCACAGTTTAATATTTTAATTTAACAAATTAAACTTATTGTAGACTTTTTGTACAAAAAAAACATAATATTTAATGTAATTTTTTTATAGTTTGGAAAAAGATTCTTCAATAAAGAGACAATTAAATTATTCACCATTTATTGTCACAAGGCAACATGATCTTTCAAGTATTTTACTCAACAGATTTCATCCACGTTAACTATTTTTACAGAGGCATTTAACTTTTGCAATACATTATAGATAGAAACTGTCTAGATTATCGTTGATCGAGCGCCATTTCCTTTAATCACTATAACTTCGTAATCAGTTCCTTAACATTATTTTTTCTGAATTTAAAACTGTTTGCACTGTATGACGGGATAGTATGTTTAATTGTTCATACGTGTGTTCTCTTGACAATCAAGTTTTCTGGGATTGATTTTTGACCATGAATGAGTTCTTATACACTCATATTTTTTTTCTAAATTTCTTATTATGTACATAGTAACCCTAAACAGATTAAAAATTTAATCCCCTCAATTCTTCAAAATGTTAGTTCAAAGGAAACAATTTCATTAAAAATTACTGCTTAAAATTTGACTATTCGTTGTTGAAGCTCCCTCCAAATTTTATTATCATAAGTAATATTTTCAACTACATTCTATAACAAAAAAATCGACGCACCAAGAAGGAGTTGTCCGATTGAAACAAAAATTGGTAGATAAGAAGACAATGTACAGAATAGTAAATGATTAAAATTTCAGAACAATTGAATAATTTATTGCAGAGTTACAGTAACAAGTTCAATAAGGTGTTGTCCCACCTCTAGCCTGGATACAAGCTGCCACACGGCGTGGCATAGACCGATAAAGCTCCCGGATGGTCTCTTGCGGTATTTCCTGCCAAATTCGATCCAATTGTCGAACGAGGTCATCAACATTCCGTGCCAGATGCAATCGCCTTCCCATCATATCCCAGACATGCTCGATGGGAGAGAGATCTGGTGATCTGGCAGGCCAAGGAAGAGTTTGACAAGCTTGCAGACAGTTCATAGCAACACGTGCCGTATGTGGTCTGGCATTGTCCTGCTGAAAAACCAGCCCAGGGCGCTGCAAAAGGAACGGTAGCAAAACAGGTCTTAGGATGTCGTCGACGTACCGCTGTGCAGTAAGTGTACCTCTAATGACGACCAAAGGGGTCCGACTGTCAAAGGAAATGGCACCCCAGACCATAATGTCTTGTTGAGGGTCGGTGTGGCGTGCAATAGTGAAGGCAAGATACCCCCTCTGCCCTGTGCGTCTCCAAACACGTCTTCGATGATCGTCAGGACACAGTTGGAAGCGGGATTTGTCGCTAAAGACTATACGTACACAGTCGGCATCATTCCAGCTATATCTGTTCAAAACATTCATGCATACGAAATTTCAAAGCAATCGGATGATTGCTTCTTGGTGCGTCGATTTTTTGTTACAGAGTGTATTAAATAAATAAATAAAAGGAAAAATTTAAAAAAAAACTTCACTTTAACTTTTCTCCCCTATTATATAAATAATTATTGTTTAATACTTTTACAGCAGCGTTCAACTTTCGACGAAAATTTATAGATTGAAATAGTCTACTATAGAGTGAAATTTTTCCCCCAATATGACGTCGTGGTCAGCACTGATTGTATTGAATGAAGAGGATTGCATGTTTTGATGCGTGT